AATTCCCCCCTTTTTCTAAGCCCCCTCTGCCCATATATATAATTCCTTTCCCCATTTATCCAACGGCCTTTGACCGGCGTGTTTTCTTACGACCGTATCTTTCTTCTTGAGACGACTATTACAGTTAGATTTTGACCCATACATTTTAGTTATGTCATTTTTTGGTTGGGAACTTGAATAGAAAAATGATAATTAAGAAAGCATGAGAAGAGGAGGACTGCTTAATCTGGACAAAGGCAAAGCTAAGGGATTTGGGAACCCCTGTTGTTCGGCTAAGCAGAAGGGGTTTTGGAGTAACGATAAAGTTGTCGCTTTCTGGTTTGTAGGTTACTAGTTTGACCGATAAAAGCAACCACTAATAAAATTATGATAGGTTGTATATATATCACACCCCTTGAGGTACCGCCCTTTTCTGGACCCTACGTTCACGCGGAATACATTGTGCACCAAACTGTTTTTTTTATTTTTATTGTTCGGCTAAATGATTGTAGGTTAGGGTCCACATTTCCTTTGCTAGAATAACATAATGTTGTAGCTTGATTATAATATTAATATTGGAAATGCAGCCAGCCAAGTTTTAATTATAATCTCACTAACTGGCATGTTTCTTAATTTGCTCCTTTTTTTTAATTTTCTTAAAGATCTTTGTCTGAATATCTAATTAACAACAGCTACTATTAAGCAACTGAATATCTAATTAACAACAGCTACTATATATAATGTGGACGCTAAGCATGAATAATTGTAGCTTAATATTCATAATTATATGTTGCATTACGAGTATAAAGGATAATTAGAATCCCAAATGTCATGGTTTTGTCTGGTTTGGGGACAATATCAAATCTCCATAGATTTATTTGTCCAAATCATCCCATTTATAAATCAAATCAATGGTGCTCTTTGAGAATATGCATATTTTTTAATCTAAAAAATTTGACATTAGTGTCTTAAGAAGATACGATACAGCTTTAATGCTCATCATCACCATGTGATTTTCTGCTCGTGCTTTTTTGCAGTTGCTTTGTAAGATAAGATTAGCTTGGAATTTTTAATCTTCTTAAGGTGATAGATTATTAAAGCCGCAATAAACCTTTCACGGCTAGAAAACTGACTAAAATCGTCCAAAAATACTGATCGAAATCGGTTGGAAAATTGAAAAAATCGATCAATTTCCGACCGACGTTAATTCGTCAATATTAGGTTGGTCGGTAATAAATAGCGATTGAAGTCGGTCGCAATTTTCGACCGATTTCGATCGCTCAATAAAATTTTACAAGCGACCAAAAATAAAAAATCTGCCAAAAAAACGAGCGAAGTCGGTCGGTATTTTAATTATGCAATTAAAAAATACACCATCTGAAAATCGATCTGGTGTCTGTATTGTGGCAGGATACTATTCTACCACTAGACTACTGGTACATTTTGGTTTAAGACTAATTTTTATTATATTTGTACTCTTTAATTGTATTTTCCCGCGAAAATAACCGATCGATTTAGGTGGTTTTATTAAAAATATAAAATTACCTACCAAAATTGGTCGGTTTTTTAAACTAACCGACTGAAATAACCGACCAATTTCGGTTGATTTTTTGAATATTAAATTTAATTTATTTTATAGGAAAAACTGATCAAAGTTGGTCGGTTTCTTAAAAAATAAATTTCGCAGGACGCCAAAATAGTTTCCCCTATTTTTGCGCCAAAAAGAAATTGACCGAAGTTAGTCGGTTTCATTAAAAAAAATTGAAAAATAAAATATTTTAAAATACCTTCCAACTTTGTTGCGGTCGGTTTTGACCGAATTTCTAGTAGTGTTTCCATATATATATATATATATATACACACATTGATTATTAATAATGCCTTCAAACCCTATTGTCCAGCAACTAGCTTAGCTAGCTACATACCCTTTCAAGATATTACCATCCGATGCGTAATTTGATATGGTGCTGATTATAACATGACAATGATGAAGATATGTGCCTTCACTTTGATTTGTGGCCCAATTAAAAACAAGAAGAATTAACCAAATATTCGTCCACCCAACCATTTAAATTGAAAATAGTCGATTGAGATATAATATATATATATATATAATTTATATATTGTATGTGAATCATTATATATAATTAATGTATAGTCTACGTATGTAGCTAGAAAAAGTAAACAATGAATATGGCCAGCTATTTGTGTTAAGAACCCGCTAGCACACTTCTAAGCATGGGAAGCTAGAGTGTGGGTTGCGGATTCGGTCGAACCCAGTAACTTTTATTTAAACCCTATATTTATTTTAAAAAATTCATTGAATATATACAAATTATTAATTTAGAACTCAATAACTTAAAAGAATAACAATTCTGAACCCATAAGATTCAAATTTTGGCTCCGCCTCCGAGCAACATTCAACATAATGCCCACGAATAAATATTTAACGGATTAATTAGGCTGGTCCAATATATTTTTCTAAAGAAATAAATATAAAAACCTATATATACGGGTAAAAATTGCATGGGACGCCCTATTTGGTCGCCCTCACTTAACTTATACCCACTTTTTTAAAAAGTTTTAACTTGTACCCACTTTTTAAACAACTTTAGACCTCTTTCTCCTCCTCCTTCTCCTCTTTCATTTTCTTCTTCTCCTTCTTCTTCTTCGGGTGACAATGATTTTATACGGTGGTTGTGAATATATTTTAATATAGTTTATGATGTTTTACAATGGTGAATTGTTATGACGCTTTATTTTTTACTATTACTTAGGATTTCTTCTTCTTATTTTTCTTAATTGTAAAACAGGTTCATTAGATTTATTGTTGTTTTGACAAATTGATGATTGGGGTTTGTACCTAATGATATTTGAAGGTTATGTTTTAAATTTGAGGTTATGTTTTAAATTTGAGCTCATTTGGAGTAGATTTAGGTATTAAAATCGTATATTGGATTGTTATAATTCAAAGAACAAATTTTTATTTCTTGGCAATTTTCACTTCAGCCTTATTGGCCTTAAGTGAATGAAAATGTTTGTTGCACTTCAGACTTTTTAGCCTTAAGTGCATCTGAAGTGTAATTTTTGACTTTAGACTTATTGGCCTTAAGTGTAGCAAAACCTTTGTTGCAATTCTGACCTTTTGACCTTAAGTGCATCTGAAGTCTAATTTTTCACTTCAGACTTATTGGTCGTAAGTGCATGAAACCATTGGTTATACTTCAGACCTATTTGGCCTTAGGTGCATCTGAAGTGCAAAATTTTACTTCAGACTTATTGGTCGTAAGTGCATGAAACCATTGGTTATACTTCAGACCTATTTGGCCTTAGGTGCATCTGAAGTGCAAAATTTTACTTCAGACTTATTGGTCTTAAGTGAATGAAAACGTTTGTTGCACTTCATACTTTTTGGCCTTAAGTTATTGTTTATTAAAATGACTAAAATACCCTTAAAACTTTACAAAAGATTATATTTAAAAACTTCAGACTTATTGGTCTTAAGTGCATGAAACCATTGGTTACACTTCAGACCTATTTGGCCTTAGGTGCATCTGAAGTGCAAAATTTTACTTCAGACTTATTGGTCTTAAGTGAATGAAAACGTTTGTTGCACTTCATACTTTTTGGCCTTAAGTTATTGTTTATTAAAATGACTAAAATACCCTTAAAACTTTACAAAAGATTATAAATTAAAAAATTAGCGAAATACATATACGGCTATTTAAATTTGTCCGATATTTTCATCTAGCTACCTTAATTGAGGCTTGTTCCTATTAAATACTCCAACCTTATTGAATATGTGTCTATTAATTGATATGGAAAAAAAATGTGTTCCAAACTTATCTTAAGCGCGTCAGAAGTTCAAACAACATACTTTTCCTTTTTTTAAAAAAAAAAAAATCTTTTCCAGAAACCACCATTAACGCCACCCTACCACCACTGCTTCGCCATTGTCGCCGCCACAAAAGTCCTACCACCTTAGCAGCATAGAAACATCATCCAACTCTGCCATACCATTGTCACAATCCGCCTCCCTTCCACCATGGATTATCTTTGCGCTGCCATCATCTTGCCCTAAAGCCACCACCGTCTTCTTACAGAACCTCACACTCCGGCCACCATGAAAGCCCCTGGAGCCATCACAGAACCTCTTTTTACCACAAACATCTTCTTCCTTCATATCCACCTCAAAATGCTACCAATGAACCCCTCCATTAGATCACTCTCCACCATCGAACAACCCACACAACCACAACATTTCAACGCTCCGTTACCGCTGCCACCACAAGAAATTCAGTCGCCAACGAAATCCGACCACCACAAACACCTCTAGCCATTGTTTATTTTTTCTTCTCTTCTAATCGCCACCATGAGCATACCATCGGATATTCTCCTTAAATCACAACCAAAATTCCTTTAAAGGGAGTGAGAGTGGGGTTTTCTGAAATAGAAGCAGAAAGGGAGGGTATTGGGTGGGGGAAGAAGAAAGGGAAGGTGGGAGGAAGAAGAAAATGTTTTCTGAAAATGAAGAAAAAAAGGAAGGATGGGGAGGAGGACTTGCTGCACCGTACGCCGGTGACGGCAGAGGAGTGGGGCAGCGATTTTTTCCCCGGAAAAGGGTCAGAATTGCCCTTAACGTATAAAAAATGGTCTAAAAATTACAAAGTGTAATCCCACTTAGTGGGGTCTGGTGAAAATTACAAAGTGTAATCCCACTTAGTGGGGTCTGGAGAGCGTAGTGTGTACTGTGGGTCCTCGTCTTGGCAAAGAATGAATAACGAATATAGTATGAAGTGAAAGTTAGAAAATTTATTTTGGGAAGAATATTTTATGAATTCAAATATATTACTCCCTCCGTTTCAATTTATGTGAACCTATTTAACTGGGCACGGAGTTTAAGAAAAGAGAGAAGACTTTTGAACTTGTGGTGTAAAATGAAGCACATATATTTTGTGTGGCTATAAATCATTGCATTGCATAAAGGTAAATTGTTTTCAAATAGGGAAAGAGGTCATTCTTTTTGGCACGGACTAAAAAGGAAATAGGTTCACATAAATTGAAACGGAGAGAGTATTAAGGATAAACTAGTAAAAGCTTTGGCCAAAATAAAAGTGCTTGCTGAAATGTCGTAAGTTGGGGGTGACGAACTTATGACTTAAGGCTAATTTTAACTTATAAGCACTTTGGGTGTTTACCAAACTCGTATATAAGCCAGTTTAACCGGCTTATAAGCTTAGCCAAATAAACTGGCACCCCATTTTTTGGGGCAACCCGGTACCCCCCCCCCCCCCCCCAAACCATAACCAACTTTACCATGCAATCGTGCATGCAACTTTATCAACGTTTAACCTATTTCAATTTGCTGTCACATTATATTTCCAGTTCCATAAGTTTGCTTTCCTATTCCGGCATTAATGTAAATCTACAGTCAGTTTTACTGATGATAGTAATATATATCTCTACCTGCATATTGATATTCAATATACAAACATGCAGAATAATATACTTTTCCTTTGGGATGGCCCCTTTTCCTCCCTCACGATATTGCTTTTGTTTTCTTAATTCCCTCACTATATAATTATTTTTCTTTCTTGTTTATAATTCTTTCGTTCTCCTAGCTATTATCAAGAGGATCACTCTATATAATTCTCCCTTTTTACAACAAAAAATTATAAATTGGGCTAACAAATTAAAGCCTTTTTGTTCCTGAAGGTAGGGGTAAATATGTGTACATACTACCCTCTTCAGGCCCCGCTTGTGGGATTATATTGGATTTTCTTTTTGTTGTTGTTGTTCCTGAGCTGAAACTAATTGAGTTTCGTGTTGTGGTGGTGGGGAGGAGAAGGGGGCAGGATGAGCTTGGTGGTGATCCAAATAATGGTGGTGGCCCTTCTCTTTGTCAATAGTCACAGCTTCGCCAATGCCGACACAGATCCATCTGACGGTCAGCTTCAAATCCTGGCTCCACTTCTGCTCGAAATGAATAAATTACTGAATTGGTATAATCATGGGACTGATTGACCATTAGTACAGAAGTTTCAAAATATATATATATATATATATATATATTTTGAAACTTTTGTAAACTAAGAAAGAATTTCGTTGTCACTCAACTTATGAACAGATGTGGAACACTTAAATTAAAGGTGTTTGATTGGGTACGAAGTTTAATAAAGAAAACTTATGATCCATAACAAACCATAAATATCCATGTAGCTATAAATCATCTCATTAAGAGTAAAATTAGAAGTTTAAACTAGAGAAAAGTGTCATTTTCTTAACAGATTAAAAAGGAATGTAGATTGGTTACCTTGAAAATTTCTTTTTCGTCTTCTTGAGCCGATGGTCTATTGAAAATAGCCTCTCTGCCCCATCGGGTAGGGGTAAGCTCTGTGTACACACTACACTTCTCAGATCCCATTTGTGAGATTTTACTGAGTCGTCGTTGTTGTTGTTGTTATATGGCTAATTTTCAGCTTCAGCCCTGAGAGTAATGTATAGCTCCCTAAATTCACCGGCGCAGCTTACAAATTGGAACTCATCTGACGGTAGCGATCCTTGTGGAGAATTCTGGAAAGGCATTACTTGCTCCGGCAATAGAGTAACTGAAATGTAACATTGTTCTCTTCAATATATACCCATCCTATCATCATTTTTCAACGCATTTATTGATTTGCAACTAATGTTGATGTTTAGTTTTCATATTTCATTTTCCTTCAGACAGATATCCGGTCTAGGACTCTCTGGATCAATGGGATACCAATTAACTAGTCTTACATCTGTGACCAATTTGTAAGATTAATGAATTTCAATTATTTCCTTAATTCCTTCTTTGATTTGTGTTTAAGTCCTAGAAATTGTAATATTTCGGGTATTTTAATTTGCAGTGACATAAGCAACAATAATCTGGGAAACCAGATACCTTATCAGCTTCCTCCAAATGTGCAGAGACTGTATGTGTTTTTCTATGGAATTTAATTTTTTGTCCTTAATTCAAGGCTCTAGTCCTTTTTTTTTAATTTACTATTCATACTGAGCCGAGGGTCGATTGGAAACAGTCTCTCTATCCTCACAAGGTAGGGGTAAGGTCTGCGTACATACTACCCTCCCCTGACCCCCACGGTGTGGGATAATACTGGGTATGTGGTTGTTGTTGTTGTACTATTCATACATCATTCTGACCAGTTGCCTCGTAACGCAGTAACCTTGCTGCTAATGGTTTTACTGGTGGCTTACCTTATTCGATTTCACAAATGACTTCCCTTCAATACTTGTGAGTGAAAATTTTAAATTAAAATCATCTATATAGGTAACATTAGGCTCATTGTTCTAATTTTCTCTCCAATTGTTGTGTCTGGTTTTGTAGAAATGTCAGTCATAATCAAATTCAAGGAGAACTGAATGACATGTTTGGATCACTTTCTTCTCTCAACACGTTGTAAGGCCTTCTCTTCATTTCTTCCCTTTCTTATATATATACATTGAAATTACCCTGTTATGATTGAGAAGTTCAATGTATAATGTGCTATTCTTGATAGATATATAAACTTTCCCAATCAATTTATTATGCGAACTGTTCCCACCAAGTGCAAAAAGGTCCAAAGATGCTTGTTTGTCGCCATATTAATGATGAGAATGGGTTTGATCCTTGACCTGATCAGAGACGGATCGAGGATTTAAATCATATGGGTTCAACTTTTAAAGTTTTTAGCATTGAACCCATTATATTTTTAAAAGTATAGGTTCGTATTTACTATTTTTGCAATTTTAATGAATTTTTACATATAAATTGTTATTTCGAGAATGCACTACATCCGCCCCTGGACCTGATGCATTGAAATTTTAAGTTCTCAAAGTATCATGAGCATAAATTAGTCTTTGACATGTATCTTTTGTTTTTCCTGGTTGATTACATTTATGCTTTGTCCATTGTTGCTTACTTTTGGTTGTTTACATTTATGCTTCAGGGATATCTCTTTCAATTCAATGACCGGTAAACTTCCTCAAAGCTTCCAGTCACTGACTAGTATGAAGAAAATGTAAGACCGGTATCTTCTGATTCATTTTTGTTCTGTATTGGTTGAGTACTGTCCTTTCAGATATTGAAGTTCTAGTATTATGTTGTGCAGATACCTGCAGAACAACCAGTTTACAGGAAATATTGATGTCCTCGCCAATCTTCCTCTTGACAATCTGTGAGTTATTCACATCTTTGTGTGTGTAAATGTTATCCCTGATGTCAAATGTTTCATTTCCAGGCTTACAGTAATTTATTGTTTGTCATGTTGATTCCTTCATGCTTTAGGAGTCTTGAAAACAATCAGTTTACTGGCGCGATACCCGAGAAGTTAAAAGGGATATTGCAGTGAGTGTTTCAGTACATTATTAATTATTGTTCATCATTGATAGATAATAACTTTATATTCAATTCGGGACTTGTGATACGATTGTAGAAAATCTAATAGTAACACAGGAAGCTCAGGGCCAGCCCCTCCGCCTCCACCTGGCACAACCCCCCCGAATCACAAATCCGGAGGCAATGGCAGCCCTTCCAGTGGTGGAGGTAGCAGTGATAGAAATGAGAAATCTGGTATAGACAGTAGAGGCGTTGCAGGTATAGTCATATCAGTTTCAGCGGTCGGCGCAGTTGCAGTTTTCTTTATTATCAAGAAAAGACATAGAAAGTCGTCAACAGACATAGAAAAACTTGACGTTCAGCCATTCTCTCTTGATTCACAGGAAGGACAAGGTATATAATTTTGTGACTGCTGTTTTCTTTTGTTTTTGTTCATTGAGAGTAATATTTAGTCCACATGTTATATATCTACGTGGTTTTTTGAAATATGGCATTAAAAGTTATGATTTATTGTAGGCTTTAATTAGATTATAAATAACAACTTTATGGACCAAAAAATGTCCTATCTTCAAAAGAGACAAATTTCAAACCTAAAGCTGCAAAGACTTAATGTTCGAAATCCAGCAGATTTTATAAAGCAGGTTCTGAGTTACCTGATGCTTTTGAAGCTTAACATTACAAAGAAAAAGCTCATTTTATGCTCTCTTATGGTGGATAGGATCCTTCCTGTCCATGTTAGCTTATTTGAATATAGAGCACAATCTATTGCGGTACATCAGTAGAATAAGATAAATTTGTTTTGGCAAGTTAGAAAATCAGCACCCTTATAATCACAAAAAATTTCAGAAATGTAATTGCCTTATAAGAGCACTCATAACTCAGGATGCAAGTTCCAGAAAAGGGAATGATCAATTCTCTTATCCTTATGGAATTTCATTTGTAACATGGTCAATTTCTTTAAATTCTGTATTGTCATGTGATCAGAGTTCCAGATTGCATTTGCCTCTTTTACTAATATTGTTTTCATTGTGTTAGCTTTGGTACCTGGATTTTGTATTCATCACCTATTTTTGGCTGCAGAGATGAAAATTAGCCAAAATTCCTCGACAACAAGCATGAAAGCTGTAGAAACTCCCAGTGCAATGACTCTAAGACCTCCACCAATCAATCATCATAAATCCTTTGATGGAGATACTATTTCAGAAAAACACATTGTTCCTCAGAATAAAACTCATACAGCTCAAATGAATGTTGTACAATATTCATTTGCAGACCTACAAATGGCTACTGATCGCTTCACTGATGAAAAACTTATTGGTGAGGGATTCATTGGGAGTGTTTATCGGGCTCACTTTGATAATGGCGAAGTAATATCTCTTTCTTGAGAATATCTATAAAAGGAAAAAAATCATTCTTATGAATTTGGATTCTGCATGATGAAATCTTTAAGTAACTTTAAGAAAGTTGGCTTTAAGTGGTAGAGAAATATTTACAATAAAAAGATTTATTTATCGAAGATTCTGTTTGTTTTAACTATTTCAAATTGCAGTTACCATTCCTTATGATCATATAAGTGATCCAAATCTTTTAAGTTCCTAATATAATTTGAAATGCTGTAGGTTCTCACTGTCAAGAAAATTAATTCACCTGAGCCACGGAATCCTGAAGTTTTTCAAAATATGGTTTCTGACATATCCCGGCTGCATCATCCAAATGTGACTGAACTGGTTGGTTATTGTTCAGAACATGAGCAGCACCTGCTGATTTATGAATTCTACAGAAATGGTTCTCTGCACGATTTCCTGCATCGAATTGATGAAGAAGACAGCACACAACTAACATGGGATAGCAGACTCAAGATTGCACTTGGCACAGCAAGAGCACTAGAGTGAGTTTCATAACCTACAAAATTACTTTCATGGCGCATCGCATAAAATTAATGCAGCTTGACACAGCCTTTTATGTGATCTTTTCACTTGCTAATTAATTTAAGCATCTTTTGCAGGTATCTACACGAAGTTTGTTCGCCATCTTTAGTTCATAAAAATATCAAATCTGAAAATATTTTACTTGATACTGACCTCAACCCTCATCTATCAGACAGTGGGTTAGCAAACCTTGTTGCTGATGTAGATCAGGTAACCCTTTGTGTTGTGTGCTTTACTGGAAAGTGTTCTTTCCTTTTTTCTTTTTTTTTTCAAAAAAAAAAAATATTCTCATGCATCATTCATGCAAATCTTTTTGATGGATTCAAGTGCTTTGTTGCCTGCTCTTTTGTAGTTCTGTACCATTCAGTAGGTTCAAAACTTTTACTGTGTACAATTTCCTAAAGCTCCACATCAATATCTTCTAATTGGTTTCGCTTTGGACTTTCCTTTTCTTCTCCCTACAGGGATTGAACCATAATACAGAGTCTGGATATGGTGCACCTGAGGCTGCTATATCTGGAAAGTGTACCGCGAAGAGTGATGTATACAGCTTTGGAGTGGTTATGTTAGAACTTTTTTCTGGACGAAAACCTTTTGATAGGTAAAGTTGTTTAACCACCTACTATTTCCAATCAAAATCTGTTGAAGACAGAGAATTTAGAGGGTTTTTTAAAAAATAATGTGTTTGCTCTTCTCTACTCAGCTCAAGACCAAGATCTGAACAATCTTTAGTAAGATGGGCAACACCTCAGCTCCATGATATTGATGCACTGGAACAGATTGTCGATCCAGCGCTTGATGGACTCTATTCTGTTAAATCTCTGTCACGGTTTGCTGATGTTATTGCTCTCTGTGTCCAGGTAATACATATTTTGTGTTAAGAGTTAGTCCAAGTCATAAATCTGCTATATATGCCATGTATTTTTCAAGAACGTAGTTCATCAAATCGCTCTCTCTTATCTCAATGGTTGTGTTTGTTGTGCCAGCCCGAGCCTGAGTTCAGGCCACCTATGTCAGAAGTGGTTCAAGCATTGGTTCGGCTAGTGCAACGAGCAAACCTGAGCAAGAGGTTACACGGTATTGATCAGGACTGAGGAGACGAAAGAGCTGTTCAAGAGTAAGAAACTCTAAGCAACATTGACTCACTCTGTTGCCTATTTCAGCAAATGGTTTTCCCTAAATTCTTTGCTGTTTATGGGAGATTACCTGAAGCTGATCAGTCCAGCAAGATCTTGCACGTTGCAATATTTTCGATTAATACCAGATGCTAACATTCCTAAATCACGGGACTTTATACCCGGCTTTGGTACTCTGCTCACCAATATTGTTAGCCAAGGCAAGTTAATTGACATCTGACAGATAAATGTGCAACTCAGAAACCTGAAAATTTTCCATGTCAACTGAAATATACGGTTGAAGGTGCCACTCCTCAGAAGAAATAACAAACCTGAAAATTTCATGTTAGATCAAAAATAGTATATTACAAATTTTTTAGGGAAGTGAACCAAAACTGGCAAAACACAGGTAAGGTGATCACTAGTGGTGGCAAAATGGTTAAAAGGAAATAGTTAATCACCCATATTATCCACTAAAATATGGGTTGGATAATAAATTTTTAAAACATGGATCAAATATGGATAATAACCATATTATCCATTTAGAAAATGGATAATGGGTAACCAGTGGATAACCAATGAGTTTAACTTTCACATTTGTAAAGCCTCAAATTTGGGGGAAATTCGAAAATAGCCAGATTTACAACTGGTCGTTCAAAAATAGTTCAGTTTCAAAAGCAATCGAAATTTTAGCCACTTTTCATGTAAAGATAAATTTGAGCGAAAACACTATTCAAAACTCGAAAAATACGCCAACATATAATACTGGAGTTCCAGGATAAGTATGTTGGAACTCCAGCATAATATGATGGAGTTCCAGCATAAGTACACTAGAACTCCAGCATAATGTACTGGAGTTCCATCAAGTATAGTTGTCCAGTATAATATACTTAAGTTTGGAGCATCAGTGCTCCAGTCTCCAGTATATTATACTGGAGTCAGCAAAGTATACCGGTCCAGCATAATATGCTGGAGTTCATACGCATGTGCACTGAACTCCAGTATATTATGTTGGACCGGTCTCTGTTGCAGCAAAAGAGTGACTATTTTTCATTGACTTCGTAAACGCTGGCTATTTTTGAATGATCAGTCCGAAAACTAGTTATACCGTGCTATTTTTACCTCAAATTGGGGGTTCCTTAAGTTTGAGAGACTAGGAATTCTCCCAAAAATGATCATATTCAAGAAGTCATGGATCCATATTATCCGCCGGTTAACCCGTTTTTTTTATCCGTATTACATATGGGTCGGGTCGGATAATTTATTCGTTTTTTCATTACCCGTTTTCAACCCGAACCATATCCGACACAACCCGTCCATTTGCCACTCCCAGTGATCACTATATTGCATCCAAGGCTAGATTTTACTACTTCAATGATGAGCCACGGACAATGTGACATACCTCTAGATACGCAGGTACTTGTTCGCTCTAACACAGACCAAAAAAGTTCTAAAATTTTATCTCGAGGTCAACTCAGAGACCAGCTCCAAGTTAAAGATAGTTTGCAGATATAAATGTCACCTAAGGTAACATGTGCACACATTTTTCACATGCTTGACATCCTAGAAGCCTGTCAGTCCTGCTTAACCCGGCCTCATCAGTTTGCCCTCCGTCATGAGCATCACATTCACCCCCCGGACTCAACATCCTCATTGAGGTTTGCCCCACCAAAAGTTTGCTCCACCATCGTACTAAGGGAGATTTGGCTCTGATACCATATTTGTCACGACCCAAGCTCATGGCAAGTGTTGCCGCTTCGGGCCTACGTGTTTGTCCTTTGGGCTACGCCACATTGAGCCCCAAAAGCGTGCGTACCATATCATGCCTTATAAAGTTCTTCACTTTCTTCTCTCATTCCGATGTGCGATTCGCCTAAGATAACATGTGCACCCCTTCTTTAAAAATTTGCCAGCCTAAAACCATGTCAATCCTACTTGACCCGCCCTCCATCATAGAAAACCAATTTATCATTTGCAGAAAGATGGCAGTTTTATTCAGCACATAGCGACAGTACACGATATAGCAAGTAGGTTGTTAGCAAGC